ATGAGGGGCGTTCCTTCTCATGCCGATGTAGCGTCTAGATATACAAAGGCAAAAGAGAGAGAGAGAGAGAAGGGTAACAAATATATAAGTGATCGATAAGAATCAATAAGAAACAAGAGGAACACAGAGATACTACAGCTACTTTAAGGCCTGTCAGCCTGTGTCCAAGCACTTTCACATCTCCAAATCATGTTCTTAAATCAGAAGATGATTCGACCAGGTTTCTTCAACCTGATCATTTTTCTGAGACTGCAAGGTTTCAGGGTCTCAGCGTCGCTGAAATGCCAGGAAGTTCACCCTATCCTTCCGATGGTGGCCCTCTTCTTCTTCCTGCTGACGGTGGGCTGCTTGCTGGGCGCGTGCTTGGCAGATCCCGGCATCATCCCCAGACGCGAGGTGTCTGGATGTGTCTGGGTTTTTGGGGGCCGTTTGGGTGTCGTTGACTCATGTTCAGATGTTTCTTCAATGGACGGTTTTACCATGTTAATGTTTCAGTTTCATGCGTGGGTTCAGGGAAACTTGTTGGGTGAATCATACCTATTTCATCCATGTTCATCCTATTTCATCCATGTTCATCCTATTTCATCCATTGACTCGTTGGGACTGCTCAGACTGAATTTAGGATGCCAAGGAGACGGTATGCTGATATTTTGGTGCCACCCTTCCTGCCACAAATGGCCTGTTCAAGTTTTCTGGGTTGAGCTGATGGTGTTTGAGGTATCAACATGTGCCGCTTTAGGTCGAATAGGACCAATCATTCTGTTAATTATATACTTCATATGAATGCGTTCATGACTTTATCCTCCAAGACAAGCAGGTAAAGAATTGAACCTGAACAACACTGGTGGACTTCCTAGTTATTTGCAAAGAAGTCAGGAGAAGGTCACCGAGGCGTAAATGGCTAGTTTGCAAACGGTGCATCGGCGTATTTTACGCTTACGGACCCGGATCCCAAAGGGAGAGGGATCAAAAAAAAAATAGGGATCAAAAAAGAACGAATAGGGATCAAAAAACAAATAAGGATCAAAAAAAGCAAAACGAGAAAGGAAGGAAGGAAGGAAGGGGCAGAAAGGAAGGAAGGAAGGAAGAAAGGAAGAAAGAAAGAAAGAAAGAGAGCAAGTTCTTGCATTCTGCTTTGGGGGGAGGCGCTGCGCCCTCCCCCCAATCGCCCCTCCCGCTTCTTTATATTTAAAACCCAAGCTCGTAAATACATTTGGGGTTGGCATGATGATGTGGTGAACATGATGGTGTGAATGCTAACGATGACCATCGTCCGCAACTTGCATTTTGGCGAACTAACCTTCTATTGAAAGCTTGGGGGTGACATGATGATGTAGTGAAGGTGGCCATGCCAAAATGTATCAAATTCCTTGGGGTTGGCATGATGATGTGGTGAACATGCTCACATGTCGAAAATCCCATGCAGAATGGAAGGTGAACATGCTAACATGTAGCAAATCCCATACAAAATGGAAGGTGAACACGCCCACATGTAGCAAATCCCATGCAAAATGGAAGGTGAACACGCCAAAATGTGGCCAATCCCATGCAAAATGGAAGGTGAACACACCCACATGTAGGAAATCCCATGCAAAATGGAAGGTGAACATGCCCAAATGAAATACTTTGCAAAATGACAAATTCAAGTTCCAAACCGTTGCAAACGCTAGGAAAATGGTACCAGCCAAGAAGACTGCTTCATTTTATTTTTTTTGATGTCTATTTGTTTTTTATTGATCTCCTCGGCGAAAAGGATTTCTTACTTTCTCTTTGCATTTTTGTTTTTGTTGATCTCTATTTGTTTTTTTGATCTTTTTGTTATGTTTTGTTTGATCTCTATTTGTTTTTTGGATCCTCTAGCCATCATCCCAAACACGCTGCTAGTTTGTGAATGTTTGACGTGACTAGAGAATTGACTGATCAAGTGCAACCAAAGCACCACATTGCAATGTCACATGGTTAAGCTCAAGTTCTCCGCTCACGATTCTGCAAGAATCTCCCAGTGTCACACATAGGGATACAAAGGGTTCAAAAGAAGAGAATAGAGCAGATTTATTCTCAACCACATGTTCAGGGCGGATTGCACACACAGACGCATTTTTTTGACATACGTTTATTACATTTATGGTTTAAGAAATAATTATCGAAGGAAGTTTAGAAGTCAAACTTCCGACAATATGGACAGATGAAAAGCAGAGCAGGGAAGAGGCAGAGAGAAGAGAAAGATCAGAAGGAAAGAAGATGGAGATGCGCGAAAAGGAAGGAAAGTCGCGAAACACTCGGAGGGTCGAAAAGTAGGCGCGCTAAAGCGGCGGGTGCGGAGCCAGCTGGCCAGATGAGCGATGAAAAATTGCACGCTGTTGTGGCGCGAAGCAGATTTCCAAGTCAAAATGTACAAAACACACCAGTGTCGGACCACTTTTGGCAGTTGAGATGTCGAAAAAGTGCACGCCGTTGTGGCGCGAAGCACATTTGCAAGTCAAAATGTAGAAGACGCCTCAGCTCCGGACCACTTTTGGAAGTTGCGATGTCGAAAAAGTGCACGCCGTTGTGCGAAGCACATTTCCAAGTCAAAATGCACAAAACGCACCATTGTCGGACCACTTTTGGAAGTTCAGATGTCGAAAAAGTGCACGCCGTTGTGGCGCGAAGCACATTTCCAAGTCAAA